GATGAGGTAAGGCATGTTGGATGTTAGATCTTGCAAATAGTCAGATAAGCACATGCTTTTTAAGGGAGCAATTTCATCTATGCACTTGCTACTGTGATTTTAATTAATATGTAACAATAGGTTTCTCAATTTTACCATATAGCATTGTTATTTGGTACCTTAAAAGTTTGCTATTCATATTTTCTCAGTAGATATTGTCAAACTGGATGTGGTATCCCACTAACTAATCCATCGAATAAAGAGCTTGATATTCAGTCAGGCCACCCTGTTGTCTGGTAGCCCAGAGGCTCTGCCACTCCATGAAGTGAAGATGCTATCATATTAGTAATACTGCACTCAGGACCGGATTTACTCTCCCTGCTGCCCCAAGGCCGGGTTCCGCAATGCGCCCCCCCATGGAGAATGCCAACCAGATAGCAGGGGTGGCATGGTTGGTTTGAATTTTTTTATTGTCTCTTTTTTTTTAACTTCATCACTTTATTTTTTTTTAATTTATCTTGTCATCTTTTACTTTTTATTTTTTATCTTATTCATTTTTTATTTATAATTATTTTTTATTATTATTTTGTACTGCAGGGCTACTTTTAACCCTGCCGCTCTGCTCACCGCTCTCCATCCTCAAGACGTCGGTGGCCAGCGAGGAGAAGACAGAGCCGTGAGACGGAGTCGGGAGGACGGAGCCAGCATGCAGAGAGGTAGGTGCAGCGGAGGGGCGGGGGGAGGACGGACTGGCTGCAGTCTAATTACAAGTGATCTTGGCAAGATCGCCAAGATCACTTGTAAAGAAACAATCGGCTTCCCCGTTCTACATATAGCCCTGCTTGTGCAAAGCAGGGCTAAATGTAGAAAACAAATTACCGCCCGGAACTCAATGTTCCGAGCATCGTGAGACTTCAAACCTGTGCTGCCCCTCTGCTCCCTGCCGCCCAGAGGCTGGACCTCTGTGGCCTTGTCAGGAATCCGGCCCTGACTGCACTTTGGGAAAGACCGTCATGTTAGTAGCACTGCACTTTGGAAGACTCCACCATGCTATATCATTGTTACTATAACATAACCTTCTTCCCATATTATGAAACCTCACTTCTGTATAGATGTCACAGAGAGTTGAGTTGACTGCCTGGTACAGACATAGGTTTCTCTCCCTTCAGAGTAGATTGGTAGGCTCCATCACTAGGACATCATAAGGGGTGCTTTTTTGTGTTAAATAACCCTCCAAAACCTAAACAATATTCAACCAACTCATGAAAAGCTAACACTGCTTATCCAGGGTTGGGACCAGCAGGAACCCCTCCACTAGAGCTCTATACTATAGAAAACAAAATATAAATGTGAATTTTGGTACAGGCTATATATTCTATACAATGCTGATAGCTGACAGTCAAGATTCACAACAGATCTTTTATATAAAAAAAATAAACCAAGTTAAAAGAATAGGTGTTAATGACCCATGTATTAAAATAACTTAATTTATTCACAGTTAATCTGTATTTACTTTGAATATATCTTGTCTCTTTTTTCAGTTTATCAAGGTCTAAAATTAAAACGAGAATCACATAGCCTGTGGATAATCACATTATAGAAACCACAAGGAAAGATAATTGTGTTTTGTGCCATGACATGCCTACAAAAAGTATTATAAATCTTTGAGAGAGTTGTTATTTGCTGCCAAAATATTTTGTATTGGCAGACTGAAGCAGAATGTAATGTTTGCACTTGTTTTGCTGTGTGAGGCTGTATTTATTTTCAGCCGTCACAGATGTTTCTTTTGGTATGTGGCATTTGGAGATCATCTTTGAATTAAAAAAGGTCATTATAACCATATAGAAATTGAATATATCATGCATGCTGTAAGGTATTCTTTTATTCTGTGTATCATTTTATTGTATTTTTTTTTTCATCATCTACTTTTGAAATTCTAAAGATCTATAAATGTGCAGCAATTATGCTGTAAAAGAAAATGTGTGAACATGCATATTTTTTTCAACTGCCCATATAGTTCATGGTATCTGGTCTCTAAATACAGAATACTGAGTAAATGGCACCTTCCCTATTTGGAGCTATTTATCACCTTCTCCTGGTATATTATCCATTAAGAACACTTTAGTGGCCATTCAAGCATTCTGATTGGATAATGCGTCATTGTGGGTTGGGCTTAAGTCCAAAGTCAGAGCTCAAGTTGCTTTTAGGACAGAGTGAAGATGTGAGGAGATATGCATTGGCACCCCAGCCTTATCTGTACCATCATCTATTTCCCCCATCATTCAAATCAGTGTACACTTGTATAATACCTAATCACTGGGACACCAGGTACAGTGTGCCATCCTTCTTTACCCTGTACATTTACAAATACCCTTCTTTAGTACTTCAGGGCTTTCAATCTGGTTTTCTATCCATTTATGCTGTGTCTGTTGTTCTTTGCAAGGTGTGACTTTCTTTGTCCCAAAGCCCTCCACTCTTAATCTTTCTCTGTCTGCTTTTATCCCACCAGCATCCCAGAGATCCTGACCATAAGTTTCAAGTTCCACTCCAGGCTCCACTTCTTTCTCACCCTCACAAGTACTTTACATTCGTCCTCTTTTTCTTTTATTACTCCCCCACCTCCTAAAGTCTATTATGCTGTCTCCTCTCCGATTCCCTTACTTTTAGTCCATTGGCCCAGGGGCATCCTGATCAGGAGCTGGGTCAGACAGCATGTACACTGAGTGGCCAGATTATTATGACCACCCCCATCAGTACTTCGTTGGGCCACGAGATGACTCCACAAGATGACTTGATTGGGCCGCCTCGTGACTCCACGAGATGTTGAAAGGTGATGCGAGGAATCTGACACTGCACTGTTGCCCTTCTGTTGTCTTGTACCAGTCTTGCCACTCTCTGCTGATGGCCACAATTCGCACGTTCAGACCAAGATTTTCGGCTGACAGTCCAGTCTTTAAACACTTTAACAACAGCTGCTCTTGAACATTTAACGAATTCTGTTGTTTTGCTGATACTCGCTCCATGGCTCAGAGCGCCAACAATCATCCCACGCTCAAAGGCTGTTGTTTACCCATATCTTCAGAAAAAAATAACTTCTACTGTCCTGGTAAACAACCTGCTTCCCTATTTATAATGGTCTGGCCCTCTAGCAACTTCAGCGCGAAATTATAGCTAATTTGCCTACAAACATCAGGTGGTAATAATAATCTGGCCACTCAGTGTATATAAGAAAGTCACTGGTCTACAGTCAGCAACTGGCAGTATATGCAGATTTACTGTGAGCAAACATAGAAAGTCTCTTTCCATCAATAGGGTATTTTCCCTTTTTAAACAAAACAGCTTCCAGCAGCAATTTCCAAAGCCAGATGAATTAGGTCAAACATCTGGGGGCTTTCCCTTCTTCAAACCTCCAATTGTAGAAGCGCCGGGCCCTTACTGTTTCCGTCCAACCAAGCTGGACCAGGATCTCTACTTTTCAGTTTGGAGTAATCCGCAGCAGCCTCCTCTTCCAGGTCAAAATAGGCTCTTTGTGCTTCTCCCAGGAGAAAGGGAGCAATAATTCCAGCCCTTTGCTCTAGAGGCCAGCCTTCCCTGTTGGCTGTCCGTTCAAACGCCAGCAGATAAGTCTCCACATCATCATCTGGGGTCATTCTCTGTAGACAACTTCTGACGCCTATCTGGCTCACCCCACCTGCTGGTGGGTTAGAAGATCCCTGGGCAGTCATGTGATCTAGGATCTCTTTTAGGATCTCTTTAGGAGGCGGTTGGACTCTTGTTGCACTGCAGCTGAGGCAGCTACCTGCCTGTTAGTCTCTTGCTATACTGCAGCGGCTTGTCTGTCAGTCTCCTGCTTGTACAGCTTGTACCAGGTCTTTGTACAGTAACAGCTTGTACCAGGTCTTTCACAATTTCTTCCATTTTCCTGGGTCCTGTACCTTAAGACCAGTGAGAGAGAGTGGCCGGTACAACAATGGGGTCTATTCATGAAGCAGCCGAAGGATCTAGCCGTAGCTTCGGCCAATCCTTTGCCTATTGCATTGCACCCACCCTGTGCTGATGGACCTGATGGAGAACTGCAGCAGAGGGTGGGTGCAATGCTAGTTTACTATTGGCTATTGCAAATTGAAATAGCCAATAGGAATCTAGCAATGCATTCCAATGGGCCACACTTTTTCTTTTTCTATTCTGAGACGGCTCCATGTCAGAATAAAGAAAAAAAAGAAAAATCAGTGTTTCTCTCCTGGGCGGCCGGGAGCGGGAGACTCCCAGAGTGCCCGGGAGAGTTTTTCTTTCGTTTTTTTTGACGGCAGCAGAACCGCCGGCCAATAGAAAACTATTGGGCGGAGTTGGCTGTCATTGCTAGCTCCGCACAATGGTTTTATATTTTTTTGGGGACTTTTTAAACTATTTTTCTGTTCTGCTCGGTTCCTCTGAGGGAGGCTAACTGAAGGTAGTTTCCCTCACTACTTCTTACTGGAGTGGCTATTCCGACATCCAGTACAAAACAAGATGCACAAACAATCACAGTCTGTATCATATGTAATTTTAACCAGACCTTATTCAACAGATATTCAAACGCTCTCCAGTCTGTGTCTGCATCCAGCCGGTGTAGCCTTGGTCTCTCTCTCCTCCCTCTCTGAGCTTTCACTGCCACTATATCAGGTGCATGCTAATTAACAGAGAGATGAGGTATACCTGTTGGGGAAAATGCTTAACCCCATCCTAGCAAGGGAAAGTTGTCTATAAAATAATCCATGAGTCATCTTCACAGTGCTCTCAACATGTCTCTTTAATGGAAGGATTAAAGAACAAGAGAAACTATTATTTGAGAGGTTGTAAACTGCACATTCAACATACCTGGGGATTGTGAAATTGATATTTAAATGCAAGTATCATTATAGTATGGAATTCTGCCTGCCTTGCAATGCTGGGCCCTCCTTCTATGTGTAACACAGGTAGCTCTCAACCAGGAAGCAAGGCTATTAAAAACACACAACACACTCCAACAAAGATACAAGTCTGACCAAATGTACAAGAGAAGCTGTATGCTTCTCACTCTGCTGCCATGGCTGGTGCCGGAGGTGAACATATCAGCAACCTGACTCAATTTAAGAAAGAAGATTTTGAGAATGATTGGACTGTAATTGCTTTTGGTGGATTTGGGAAAGTCTACAAAGTCAGACACAAAAAATGGTGGTCCATCTATGCTGTGAAATGTTCATCATCCCATGGGGACCCTGAACTTGAGAGGTAAGACTTCATGCAGTGACTGAAAAGTTTATATGAATATCTTGCACTTTGTATAGACCTAAACAATGTTGTGCTTGTGTTAGAACTGCATTTCATCCAGCAGAACCTGAATTTCAAGTGAACTGTTTCTTTTCATGCTATAAACAACTAAATGCCTTTGATATCTTTCTGACTGTTTATAATATGCAATGGGGGAATTTATCAAAACTGGAGCAGACAGAAATTAGAGCAGTTGCCCATGGCAATCAATCAGAATTTCTCTTCAGTTTGCTCAGTTGAGATTTGAAAATGAGAGATAGAAGCTGATTAGTTGCACTGCAAATCTGCTCAATATTTTGTCTGCTTCAGTTTTGATTAATTCCCCCCAATGTCCTTTAGAGGTGCAACAGGGGAAATGTATCAAAACTGGAGCAGACATAATCTGAAGCAGTTGCCCATAGAAACAAACTAGCTCTTCTCTCTCTGTGTTCAGTTATGCTTTGAAATTGAAAAATTGAAGCTGATCAGCTTCCATGCAGAACTGCTGCAGAGTTTGTCTGCTCCCATTTTCATAAATTTCCCCCTATGCGTTAACAAACAAAAAACTTGTAATAACAGTCTCATACCTCCTAATTCTTTGAGATAAGAAAGAGGGACTCCTTTAAGCATAAAGTATATGAGCAAAAAGCACACCAATGCCACACTCCCAATTATAATTTAGAGGTTGAAAGAAAGGTTTACTGCAGTATAACACATTTATTGATTTCTCTCTCTCTCTCTCCCCCTCTCTCTCTCTCTCTCCCCCTCTCTCTCTCTCCCTTTTAGATTGTAAGCCCTCATGGGCAGGGCTCTCCTTACCATCTTGTCTTGAATTGTATGGTAATTGTAATGTCTTCCATATTTTGTAAAGCGCTGCGCAAAATGTTGGCCCTGTATAATAATAATACTATAACAAACCAAAAAGAGAGACAACTAAGGAGTAGGGATGAGGTTCACATTCGGTGCTGCCATGGGTTCAAAGTGAATCCTGCATGTTTAAGATTCATGGGCCCCTGGAAAGTTATGGAAATTTTAATGGGCTGAATTCCTGTGTAACCATAATGCACTGGAAGTGTCCTTGAACTGGTCATCTGGCTTAGAAGGACCAATAATGGGGGCTTAGTTATGTGCCAGCCCCCTAACTTTAAAAGGGGGCAATCCAGGGCAGCCATAGTGTCAATACGCTGCTGTAGGAAAGGATAGGGACCTTTTTTTAAATTTCAGTACTTTGGGGTTATATTATTTTTGTTTTATTTTGCTAGAGCCTTCATTTTAGGTTAAAATTTGTTGGTTTTTTTTGCAGCAAAGCTTCGGGGGTAATATTTTTAGGTTTTCATTTATTGTGGGGATGTGCTGGTTTTTATTGCATGTTAATAGTGTAATTTTTAGTTTAAACTGCTTTTTTTTTGATGCAAGGTTTTGCTTTTAAAAAAGTGGACTTTGGTTTTAAGGTGGTATTTTGGTGCTTTTGTTTCTTTTGAAGGTTTCTTGATTTTTATTTTATGTTTATATGTCCTTTTTAAGCTAAGATTGTTATGGTCAAAACTCAGCAATGTTTTTGTTGGCAATCTGTTCTGGTAGCTGCCTTTTGCATGCTGCTGCATCTATTGACAGAAATCCCTTTACAAAACACCCCCCCCCCCCCCCCACAAAAAAAACTAAGAGCAAAAACAGTGTGCATAAAAATCACCTTGCACTATCACCTATATTCAGCAAGAACAGGGACACCTTCACCAATAAACTTGGTGCCAGTCAAAGTTGGCCTATTACCATAAACTATATAAAGTTTTATACCAGAGTCAAATAAAGTTTACAATTATTTATCATAAAAAAAGTGTGGGGTTCCCCTTAATATTCCAAGCAGACCCTTATCAAGGCATGCAGCCTGTGAGGCCAGGAAAGAGAGTTAATTAAAAGTAAAAGATAATCAGATAAATGAAAATTTCAAAACTCAAACAAAAGGTCAGGCCAAAACCGAAAATGTTTTTTTTTCTAACCTTTTCAAAAACATTTTTGAAGCAGCTGGCTGTGTAGGCACAAATCCTTGCACCGGCCCTGTCTGTGTCCCAATGTTGAATGACAAAGACCTCTTCACTACCTTTTGGTGTCTCAAAAAGGAGTAATATGGGAGGGACATATGGCAGACTTTAGTAGTCTCTTTTATATTAAGGGGTGACCAGATATCTACTCCCTCCCAGGGAAAGGGTACATGAGTCCATTTTTACCTCTTACTCATTTCCACAAATAGTTAAAAGTAAATAAACATACACTAAATCTTAATAAAATAAAACGCAAACCCATATTTACCTGCTTTTTTTAACAATGTCCCCAAAAGTAATTCTACGTCAATCATTACGTCCAGCAAAGTAATCCACATGAATCATTGCCATCCAGAGAGGTAAATCCAGCATGAACATTTGGTCATTGCCGTCACCCTCGTCCACCTGATGTCAATTTACATACAGAGTGTACACATCCGCAGGCAATGTGTCATAATGACTGATGCTGGATTAACATTGCTGGATGCTATGATTGACATGGATTACATTGAAAAGAAAAATACAGTAACAACTAGCCAGGACCTTAATGAGATGCAGGCTATGAATAGGAAATCAGCATAGTTCTATGGCAATTCCCTTGGGTAGAGGGCACTACTTTTTGCAGGCTAACTTTGTCTTTACAAGTACAGCTCATTATAAGTGAATACACGGGCTACTGTTTTTCACAAAATAGTTAACTTCCAAAAAGAAAATACATGAGAATGAATAATTGTCACTGTACTAACTAATGTATATCCACAGAAGACTATGCAACTGCTATGGGGCCCAGAAGCATGCAGGGCCAGAGATGTCTAGCTTTGCAGTGATTTATGCAGTTAGTGAAATAATTTGTCTAAAATTAAAGCTTACATAATTTGGGAACATGTGTATGAATGCTATACAAAACACTGTTGAGGTTATTCACACGGCTGCCGTAGGCAGCCGAGTGAATAACCGACCCGAAGTGAAGTGAGCCGAACGCTGTTCAGGTATTCACTTCAGGCTTGTGCAGCTGGTTTCAGCCGTACATCGGCTAAAATCAGCCATACATCCGATTGCTTCAGCTGGCTTCGGGTCAGCTGTCATTACAATGAGAGCTCGGCGGAGCCGGAGGTGGTATCAAAGCCGGCTCTGCTGAGCTCTCATGGTAATGACAGATCAGCGTCCCCTGCTTGATATCACTGCCAGCTGCGCTGAGCTCTCATTGTAATGACAGATCAGCATCCCCTGGTTACCTGGTAACCAGGGGACGCTGATCTATCATTACAATGAGAATTCGGCGGAGCTGCCGTGATATCAAGACCAGCCCCGCTGAGCTCTCATGACAGTTCAGCATCCCCTGGTTAATAGGTAACCAGGAGACGCTGTACTGTCAGTACACACTGAGAAGTCAGCGTAGCCGTTCAACCCGCTTCGGATTTAACCTCGGCTCAGTCGAGCTGAAGCAAATGCCTTCGGCTCAGCTGACCCGCTCGGCCAACTTTGGGAGCTATACGGGCTATTATGAATATCCTGTACAGCAGCCCTTTGGTTCTACTGAACCGAAGGCCTCCCGTAACCGAAGCTAGCCGAAGGATCAGCTGAAGCTATGGCTGGATCCTTCGACAGCTTTGTGAATAAACCCCATAGTGTTCTGTAGTGCTAGATTCATTTTTTTTCGAGATGGGGATAAAATAGACAGGGATGCATCTTAACAGTTTTGTAAAGGGGCTCCATCACACCTAATTTCAACCCCAAATGCAACCAAATGAAGAAAAAAATTGAAAAAAAACCGCAGCCTGAAATTAAGATTATATCTGGCATCTTCCTTTAAAAAGCATGCAGGTGGAAATTATATAAAGTAATATATTTCCACAAAGTATGTCAATGTCTAGAAATGTTTCAATAAACCACTGCTAAATGCATGGGTGAAGCACAAGTTTGTTTTAATGAGTTCAATTATTTAGAGCCTAAAATAAATATTTTTCATTGCAGGAATGCCAGTAGAATTGACCAGCCAGTGGCCTCCCATGTCACTGCTGCATTCCTCTTCCCTTAGGCAAATTTTCTGGACCAGATCTGGAACACGGTGCATTGCGTTTTGCTGCGATTTTGCCACCAGTTATCATGCAGCATACAATTTAGACAATTGCGTGCTTATAACCTTGGGGCTGCCGCATGACTGTACATCTGTGCATAAAGCGGGCTTCATAAAGACATGGTTTGACAAATTTGGTGCTTGAGTGAATCAAGTGGCCTTCAAAGAGCTCTGACCTCAACCATAATGAACACATTTAGGATATATTGGAGTGCCAATGGCAAGCCAGGTCTTCTTGTCTAAAATCAGTTCCTGACCTTTACAAATGTTCTTTTTAATTAATGGGCACACTTTCCCACAGACCCACTTCCACACTTCAAAATCTTGTGAAAAAGCTTTCCAAAAGAGTGGAGACTGTTTAAGTCATAAAAGGGGGCACGCTATGTTAATTCTAGATATGTAACCCCACAAAAAAAATATTTAATTTCTGATCGATTTTGGATTTTTTTATTTCCTTCGTTTTTGAAATTTCACATCCGAAATTCGATTCGGTTTGTTTTTTGGATTTCATGTCCATTTGAATTTTCATTTTGAAACTATCCACAACAGGAAGTCAAATGACTATGCCCGTATTGCAACCCATACCAGCCCAAAAAAATCTGATTGGCCAGAGAACAGTCACATGTCCGATTTAGTTTTGTTTGAACAAAATTTGGGTGGATCGCAATTCGTACAAATATCCATTCAGAACTAAATTAAATTGACATGCCTAATTAATACCCCTGTTTAAAAAAAAAAAAGATGTCTAACAAAAAACATGCTGATATAGGTGTAATAGTGATCCACAAACTTTTGCCCATATAGTATATACTGTACATTATCTAGAGCAAGTGATGAGCGCAAAACAGCACACCTAAGGTTAGATT